TCAGAAGAATAGTTGCCCCATTTTAAACGCTCTCCAGACTGGAGAGTTATAACATGTTATAACGGTTGTCAAATAATTGCAACACAGAAACCACCATCAAGATAGCGCTATAACATATTATAACCAGACGACTTTCTCCGAAGAAATTAATTAAAATAATGTGGTTCTCTGTAATAGAATTTTAGTCCACCTTTCGCCCCTCACCGCCAGGTTCGCTAGTAGTTTTGCTTTAAATTAATTCAAGTTGGTTTTGTGTGCAATGATCTGGCAACCCGCGTTCTCGCTCGCGTTGACGAGGTGCTGTTTTCTCACTCATCGAAGGAAATTTTGATTAGAGTGAGAAAGTAAGGAACAGTCAGCGCGGGAACCGTGTGCGTTACTATTGGTGCGGCAGAAGGAATGAAGACAACTCTTTCGTTCTCACGGTGTTCTTACGCATGATCCAACGTTACGTCACACTAGATTATGCATAAGAACGTCGTGATAATGAAAGAGCTGACTTGTTTCCTTCTGCCTCACCAATCACATTGAGATTTTCTTTTTTTGATTCCGAGAAAAGTTGACCTGCACTCTAAGCTACGATTACCTAAAATTATAGGTAAAAATTTATCGGTATTTGTTACCGATAAAAATCGTTACTTTTTACTTTAAATAGGATATTTTTTACCATAAATTAGGTCATTTTTAACGTTAATTATAGGTAATCCATGATTACCGATAATTTAGGTATGTGCACTTTCTTCGATTAACGGTAATTTTTACCGATATCTAGGTATTCTTTACCGACTTTTAGGTATGTGCATCTTAGCGTGTGAGTAGCCACTTTGGGAAGCAATGTTTTGATTTCATTCATAATGTAGAGGGATGGCGGTTTCGCTGAAACAGTGAGCAAAAAATAGACGTTTGCTGGTATGGAAAAACGTGGCATACATAGTGGTCCCATTCTACTAGCGGTTGAAGGATATTTCGCTGCTGTGACGATCCGACAGGGAACGTTGATTACGTATTCCAGCCATACTTTTGGACATTGCTGTGCGGACCATTTATTGGTATCATGCTGCCCGGCATTCTTTGTTGCTGAGCAAACATGTTAATGTTATCCTTCCAGCGACCCCGGTGTATACCGATTGCTCGGAATGATTAAGCTAATACTTTTCAGTATCTAACAAGTGGTGTATAAACCAATTTTGCAGTACATATAGAATTTCTGGAATGTTTGCGTTGTCCTATTTTTCCGTAAATTTTTCTTCTTTTGACAACATTTGTGGGCTTCGTGGTCCAGTGATTATCAACGTCACCCGTCGCTCACCAGGGTGTCCATTCAAATCCCATTTTTTTATTCCCGGTATTTTCCCGGATATTAAAAAAAAAATCTGCTTTAAACAAAAAAAAAGGCGTTCAAAATTAACCCTTTAAAGATAATGATATAGTTTTGTCAGCAGAATTGCATTACAATACGTCTACTTTGCGGGACTGGTAGTGGGTATTTTATACAATAATACAGGTCGGACTCGATTATCCGGGGTTCGATTATCCGGAATTTTAGACTCGATTATCCGGAGTATTTTTTTGCGTTTTTTTTTTCTATAAGTTTTTATGCATCAGACATTTGAAATAATTTAGTATTATAATTTACAATATGATTATTTTAACAATATTAGATGTAGCTAAGAGGAGGGGCAGATTTGATTTTTTTTTGTGGTTCGATTATCCGGAGGATTTGATTATCCAGAGGATTTGATTATCCGGAGTGAAAAAAAAAATCGATACTCCGGATAATCGAGTCCGACCTGTAGTGGCTGTAGAGTCTAAAATAACGAAAAAAGTGACCAAATAGTGAGATTAAAACAGACAAAAATTACCAATAGTGACATGTATTGATCGGAAAGAAATGAAAGATGTGGTTCCGATCTGTCGTTGAATGCGACCCACTTTGAGAAATATTATTAACTCACAAACCAGCATTTTTCAACAGGTTAATTACTAACCTCCATTTCCTCACTCAGTGATCATTTTCCTGTCTCTATTTTTGTTAAGTTGTTTTTAGATTCCGAACGCGAATTGGTTATGAATGAATTTTGGGATGTGAACGATTGAACATAGTCATTAATTAGGAAATCTTGAAATTGAGAAAAATTGAGGTGCAGAGAGAAAAGCTCAAAGTCTAGTACAAATTTGTCAATTTTAAGACAAGCAATTTTAAAGATCTCGAATATAGAAACTTCTGTAAATCTTCGAACATAGACAAATGTTCATATCTCTGGAACCTAGATAACTGTTCTAGATCCAATCAACCAATTCGACAGGGACATCCACTCCGATACGAACGTTAGCTGCATTAACCGCACCCGTACCGGAAAATGTTTTGCCTCTCCGGAACCGGTTTGAGTTGCCAAACGAAAACGCCGTACACAGCAGTAATTGGAAGCCGATCGATGTAGAAGTAATAGAAAAAAAGATGAATAAGAATAGGCTGAGCAGACGAGGCAGCAAGAGATAAAAACGTGACATTAAATCCTATGTCCCGATCGATTCGTATACTGAAGTTTCAATGCGCCGCCTGTTTGGAAAGGATTCCCCGCGACATGAGGGAGCGCCACTACGCGAAGCATGCCGGCCTTACCAATCGGGTTGATATCGATCCAGTGGTCGATCTGTATGACGAAACTACTGCCACGGCGATTGTAACCATGAAAGTGCACCGGCAAGTGACGATCTACTGCGACAAATGCAACGTGCCTAAGAAATCGTCTCTCGGATTAGTATTCCACCGGTTGGTTTGGCATGATAAAACAAAACCAGTACTCGCACTGTCTGGTTCTGCAGAAGAAAAGAAGAAGCTGGAGCAGACAAAACTGATATCGCAACAGGCAGCTTGGGTGGATCCTTCCAGTTCCGATACGGAGGAGCAAATGCGTACCGAGTATGGCCGGGTTCTGTTTGTTGGCGTCCAACAATGATGTCTTCTCGGTCGCGGATGACTCTGACTTTAGTTAAGAAGCATGGACTGAAGAAATCTGTAGCAGCAATTGCAACAAGCGCGAATCATTGACTGCTCAACATCGTTTACTTGTACGCAAATGTTAACCCTATGTGTTCATCCCTAATCATTTTGGCCTATGGTCTTTCATTATACAAAAGAAGTGCAGACGACAAAATGAAATGCTGTTTGACAACAGGCTCTCCCTTTCAATTTTCGTTAGAGAAAAAGAGATAACAGGTGGTTCCCCCTACTTTAAGCTAGTACATATGAGTAGATAGTGTTGTCGTGAGGTACACTCGAAAATTTTAAATGTAAGTGCGTCAAATCAAATTTCGAGCCGCTCCGTCTGTCAAAGAATCATTGTACACAAAATCAACTTTGTTCAAATCAAAACAAAAAAACTAACCCATCTGGTGGATGATGGCACAAGCTCCCAAGAAAATTCTATTACAGTGAACCACATTATTTAAATGGATTTCTTCGCCAGTTAGTCGTCTGTCACTTCGTTTGTGGTGCAAAGAGTGCGTATCATTTTGTCATTTTTTTATGCATTTCAGTTTTGTGTAGAGTGAAAGAGATAGAACCAAAATATTCTAGTACATTTGGTGAAAATGCTAGTTCAATCCAATAGTTGTGTTGCCATGTGGTACAATCCAGTAGTAATGGTGTTGCCATGTGGTACACTGAAAAATTGCAATAGAAGGTTAGTCACCAAAGTTTTTGAGCCGCTCCGTCTGTCACTTCGTTTGTGCTAATAGTACGTTCAGACTACAGAGTTATAACAACAATCAATACGAAACTAACGATTTTTAATTGGCTCACCACTTTAGTAGCCTATTGGTCCCAAGCAAACGATTAACGTACCCTATTCTAGTTGAAATTCTATTACTACACTATGTTTGTTTTGATTCGCTATGAAAGTTTGACAGATAACATCAGGGGTGTGTGGATTCATGCAGAACATGCAGGGGTGAGTGAAATAGCTTGGGACTGCTTGGGACCGTTGTTCTGGTACTGAGTGAGCCAAAAATAATAATGATTTTCTTCGGGACCCAGTGGTCTTAGAGTTACCTCTATGGTTATAACATGTTATAGCGCTATCTTGATGGTGGTTTCTGTGTTGCAATTATTTGACAACCGTTATAACATGTTATAACTCTCCAGTCTGGACAGCGTTTAACCACAAACGAAGTGACAGACGGAGCGGCTCGAAAACTTTGGTGACTAACCTGCTATTGCAATTTTTCAGTGTACCACATGGCAACACCACTACTACTGGATTGTACCACATGGCAACACTACTACTAGATTGAACTAGCATTTTAACCGAATGTACTAGAATGTTTTGGTTCTATCTCTTTCACTCTACTCAAAACTGAAATGCATAAAAAAAATGACAAAATGATACGCACTCTTTGCACACTGTCAAAGAATCATTGTACACAAAATCAACTTTGTTCAAATCAAAACAAAAAAACTAACCCATCTGGTGGATGATGGCACAAGCTTCCAAGAAAATTCTATTACAGTGAACCACATTATTTTAATGGATTTCTTCGTCAGTAAGTCGTCTGTCACTTCGTTTGTGCTCTGTAGTCTGAACGGGGTATTAGATTGGCCCTTCCTTTGGAAAATGAACACCAATCATGTTAGGCAGTTCGAATGACCGAAGTAACAATCATATACCCCATCATTTCAAACTGTATATTGGACAATTTTTGATCAATGATTATTTTAAATAAATAAAAGTAAATTTTGATGGATGTTTTTGTATCACATACAATGATAGAAGAGCAACAGTTTGTACCGCTTAATTCGATTTGTTTACATTTGTTACATTGGTCTATTTGAAAAGTGACGCGAGTTACTCTATTCAATTTCTCTAGTTCTGGCAACACTTGTCAGGATTGACATTATTTTCGCCTAAGACAAGACAATATATTTGGCTTCTTTTTATTCCGCTTCACAGGTTTTTCATTCGCCCCTGAAGTCTCTGTTGAACATTATCCGTGCTAAATCAATACAAACAGTTCTGACAGTAATTTTGTACACATCTAAAGCAATAAAAACAATTTTAAATTTGAAAATCAACCAAATAGCGACTGGATCTAAAACTGGATCTAAATCTCATACCTCAGTTGTCTCCCCCTAGATTTTTGCGTGCATTGAAAATAGGAATACAGCCTCAGCCTGTAGTTCTTTCTCTGATAGTATTTAATATTGCTGCAAATCTTCTGTTCTTTTGCTCAAATGTTATCTTCTTCTAAAATGATGTCTGCGGTAAGTGTTCCGGGCTTAGCTTCATAAAATAAACATATTTCCAATGCCTTAATCGTAAAAATCCATCGCCATGTTGGTCAATCTATAATTCTTACGTAATCACTCTTGTTCTTGTTTGCGGTCGTTCGGATACGCCACACGATATGACCGTAAACAAGAATAAGGGTCCATTTGTTCAGAGATTATCAAAAATGTAAATGAAATTGTTTTTGCTGTACCCAGGTGAGACAAGTCCGTGGCATCTGCAGCTCATCACTAAGATTGAGCGATAATCTTTTCGTTCACCGTGATACCGCAGAAGATAATCCGAATATTCCATTTGAGTTCACCGCAGAGAACATAAAGGTATGACATTTTAATTTCTGTTAGATATGAATTAATCTCAGTGAAGTTTTTTCTGTAGAGAGTGAAGGCTATCCTGAATATTTATCCGGAAGGCCACAAGCGTGGTGCTATGATTCCACTTCTGGATTTGGCACAACGTCAACATGGCTGGTTGCCCATTTCTGCTATGCATAAAGTTGCAGATATTTTGGATTTGCCGAACATGAGAGTATATGAAGTGGCCACCTTCTACACTATGTTTATGCGCAAACCAACTGGAACGTACCATATCCAAGTGTGTACTACAACACCCTGCTGGTTGCGTGGGTCGGATAAAATAATGGACAAATGTAAGGTAAGAACAGTTTAATGCCTTGTTCAGACTACAGAGTTATAATAATTATTCTCAAGAAAAATTTCATGAGATAGTGTTATAACATGTTATCCCTGTATTCTGAACATAGCATAACATATTTGTAATGGATAAACTGTTACTGCCCATTAACGGCATATCAGTCACATATTTGTATGATTTCCTATCCTAATGGGACTGATATGCGATTATGGGTAGTAAAGTTAAAGCTATTTTTTAGGCGAATCTTGGTATTGGGCCTGGTGAGACTACTAAAGATGGCAAATTTACTATTTCGGAAGTGGAATGCTTAGGAGCTTGTGTAAATGCTCCAATGATTGCGGTCAACGATGATTACTATGAAGATTTAACAGCAAAAGATACTGAAGAAATTTTAGATGACTTGAAGAAAGGTAAGGTGCCAAGACCCGGACCGAAGAACGGACGCTTTGCTTCGGAACCATTTGGTGGATTGACATCTTTAACAGAAGAACCAAAAGGTCCTGGATTTGGACTGCAGGCAGGATTGTAAAATAGTGATGTTATTAAGAAGTTCAACATTGTTAAAAATAATGACAAACTAGGGTGTTATAACATGTTATAAGGCAACCTTTATTACACCTTTATGCCTTGTTCAGATTAAAGAGCTATAACATGTTATAATAATTATCGACTAGAAAAATGTCATCAAGATAGGCTTATAACATGTTATAACTGCTCATTCTGGGCAGTGTTTTATAACATTATAAAACTCCAATTTGAACAACGCATTAAGCATGAAATACAACCGATGAAATTGAATTATATCTAATTTTCATAAAATCAATAAATCTCCCACATTTATTTTTAACTACCATCGACAAACTTAAACTCCTCAGGAATTTTCATTCGCCTCTCAGCAATATGTAGCATTTCGAATGTAATGTACTGAATTCTGTCTTTTTGCGATTTTCAATTGTTTCAATTTTGTCCTCATTTGCCGCAAAGTACTATAATTATTCGGCGCAGTGCCTATTACCACGTACTTCGCTAAAATTTTGCGGTATACTACAATTTTATCTCAATTTATTTTTCTCATACACACTAACTTTAGATTACTGGAGTCAGTAAAATTTTACTGGGTTTTTGAATTGCGGATCGCCCAGTAGTCATCACAGAAATAATTTGCATTACCGAACTGTCCGTAAAGTCAATCTGTCAAAAATAACTGTTCATTCAGTAATTGGTTCGAGTTGCGTATACTGGAAAACCCAGTATTTTCTTTTTGTTTATTTTGCTGCAATTTAACTGAAACGACAGTTATTTGGTCCCTTAATTATACCGTGTTACCCAGGTATATTAAAAGTAGTGAATTTGCAGTCATAAAAGCATGAATCCTGGTGCAATTCACCGTTTATAATATGCCAATTAATATGACGACTTAATCCCTTGACGTACCCCGGAATAGCGCGTCAACAGTGAAAGCAAACAATGCAAAAATCCATTTTCTTAATCAAAATTTGTTGGATACCAAGGAACTGCAAAGAGAGTAACGTGTTGGTACTAACGAAATAGTTCTTCAATTTCGCTGTCGAGCTTTCTCAGTTCCGTCATGATATAATTCAAATTTTAACAAAACCGCGCGATTAAACTCTTGCTCCCGGATTTTACTGAAGCTAAAATGGCGGCGGGAATAAAATTGACAGGTTAGAGTTTTACAATTCGTGGTCGGTAAAACAAGGTGGCTATTTTGCTGACCAGTCGGTAAAAAAATAAAGACTACTTTGGGTACAGTAATTATTTATACACAGTGTTCGAAAAATCATTCTCAAATCTCATTCATTGAGTCTCCTTACGTAATCTAACTCACGTGCGAATGTGGCAAACAAAATTCACGCTTGAGATTCTCATGCATATTCACGCACTCACACTCACAACGTCGAAAAATCATTCCAACTTTAAACTCATAAAAACCACTCAAACGTTAATTGATGCCATGGTTATGCATGTTTTGTTAGTTCTCCAACCCCTGATGTGCAAACAATAGTAATAACAATAAATAACGCCAATATATAAATAAATTAATTTTTGAACCTGAAAACTCATCGGTGATTTTTGCGACGTTGAATGTTGCGCATAAACTCATGCATGAGTTTTGAGTTTTTCATTATAAATAGATTTTAAATCTATTGACACCGAATAAATATTTAAAGTATGTAGTTTCAAGTGGCGTCAATCAGGGTTGCTTCAACTCACTTGCTATAAAACAATGTTTGTCGAAATTATAAAATCATTAGATGTTCTAAATGATATGGTGATGTGGCAGAATATTTTCTCAAAAAGGGATTATACCATGATGAAAACAGGTCAATTGAAAATTGTTGAAAAAAATCTTGTTTATTCAAGGAAAAGAGATACAAAGAATACATCAGTGTGATATTTGCTTATATTTATCAGCTGCCAATTTATGGAATCAGATCGGTAGTCGATCAGTGCATCCCATCCGCACGTAGTTTTCTTCATCTATTGTGCAGTGAGGTTTATTGCTTGTACTATTGTGCGGTACACGTAGGAGACGTAAACAATGAAGAAGGCCTTTGTACGGCGTGCGAGTATGATACTTTTTTTTATTATTGATTATGCGTGGGCGCTATTTTTTGTGCGTACGAGTAGAACAAAGGGATAAGCTAGAAGAGCGTTATCAGTGATTGCGGTGGTTCAATTAAATAATGCATTTCCGAAAACATCACTTGGCCATTCGGGTGAAATCTTTCATTTTATCTATTTTTATTTCATTTTTAGTACTGAGTTATCAAATGCTCCATATTGACGAATAGAGTTTCCTAATCAATTACCCTCCCACTAACACAACTCTTCCCTTCCTGTGACATCTATGAAGGTACACGGACAGAAAATTGTTTGCATTGAACCAAAAAAAACTAGTTGTATTTAAACAAACAATTCCGGTTGAAATTATATTGAATTTTGTTGTTTCAATAATACTTATTCATATAAATTCAAAATAGGATTCTTTTTGTTTTTATAAGCCACTTTTCAACTGCCCAACAAACAATTTTAGTTGCAGACTAGCTTATACAGGCAAATATTAGCTGTATAAGCCAATTTTTGGCTGTATAAGCTAATCTGCAGCTAAATTTGTTAGTTGGGTGCAGCTATTGTAAAAATAACAATATTCTATTATTAAGCCAACAATAGTTAATTTTAATTTAGCATTTATTTGCTGTGTCCATTCCTCGGCCCATGAATGCAAAAATAACTACCAACCATTCATTCGTTTTCACCCGGTCGAAAATGTAAACAATAACAACATTTCCGAAAATCTTGAGACTTGGTCAATCACCGATTTCTCGCGAATAAATACTCTATCTCGAAAAGTAATAACACTATGAGATAGAGGAATGATTCCTCTATCATTTGGTATTATTTTTTTTTTTGTGAGATTGAGCTTTTATTGAAGAGAAATCAGTGATTGACGTGTTTGTTTACAAAAGCAATTACGCCCAAATCTCAAATCACTCCGGATTTTTGTATCAATAAACATATTTTTATTTTTACTGCGTGAATTGTCAGACTTCATAAAATAAATATGATTGAATCAACAAGAAATCTATTTTAAAAACAAACATACACACTTAGAAAATGATACCGAACTCGGTTTAATTTTCTACCGAACCTCTTCGGTTACCAACGAGAAACCAAATAAATGGTTTAAAAACCATCGTTTATCAAAACAGACCCGAATTTCGGTAAAAGAGTATACATTTGATAGATAGAAATGAAGACTGAACCGAAAAGTACGATAAAGTATCGACATTTACGAATTCGCTACCTGAAAACCGAGAAACTCGGTACACTGAACCGAATATTCGCCAAAACGTGTTAAACGTCAAACGTTCAACTTGTGCTCATCTTCGCGACGGAAATTTTAACCGAAAACTCGGTTCTCTAAGCTGAGTCTAAAATCAGTCAGCCATTTTTACACGCGTTTGCTCAAAAAACAAAACTTTAGTAAAAATGGAAAAAAGTTCTGGAGCAGCTGTTACAGGAGGATGCACGTTTGATTGAAATCTTTTGTAAGTATTTGAAACTAACTGTATGATTTTATTTGCAGGCATATTGTGCTATAGTTTGTCTCTACTGCCGTGAAAATGTACAAGGTTATGTCTCTGGCTTGCAAAGGTCAACAGAGATTTTCGGTAACTTTGACAGATTGTGGGTAACAGTAAGAACTACCGGCAGTTTCTGCACTCCTACATCGATTTTCAGATGTTCCATTGAATTTGCGGCCAAGAATTTCAAATAAACAAAATAAACCTGAGTCCCCTAATAAAATCTTAAAAAATCCGAAATAATTTATTTACTACTCATTGATATGTATTCATCAAAATACTGAAAAATTCAGCAAAATAATGTAAACAAATAAATTACTGAAAAAGTCAGCAATTCTGACTAAAATGGTAAATTTTGACATTTCAGGGAGTTTTTCCGTTTACCGAGTTTTCAGTTAAACCAAAAACTACTGAATTTGATTGCTGAAAACTCAGCTGTTTAAAAACCCAGTAAAATTTTACCGGCTTCGGTAATCTAAACTCTGTGTGTAGTGAATAAATTATTTCAGATTTTTTAATATTTTATTAGGGGACTCAGGTTTATTTTGTTTAGAGGCATAATAGCAATTATGCTGTTTAAACTTATCTTGAACTATAGTCCAGCTTAAGCGCTCAATACTTCCTCGTGGTTCAGCCGGCTGGTTGCTTTCTTGGAGTGCCAGATTGCGTGCCTAAGTCTGGAGCAATGCTACACACAATTGAAATTCTTGGCCGCAAATTCAATGGAACATCTGGAAATCGATGTAGGAGTGCCGAAACTGCCGGATTTCGTAAATGATTCTGCACTCCTGCGTTGACTTCCAGTCATTTAACTTATTTTCACAAACATGTTGCTGTTTTCACACACAAATTTCTGAAGTCAAGTGCGCGAGGTGGAACGAAGGAGAATGACGTAGAGTCCAATTTACTAGTGTGACCAGTAATTTTGGAATTTCGTTTGATGAATGTTTCAGTTAAACATAATTAGTACTGAAAACTCGGTGTTGTATTTAACTGAGTTTTGGTCATTTCCCGTAAAACTGTTATTTTACGGTCAATTCAGTAATTACTATTACCGCATTCAGTAGTTTCTTGCAAAAACTAATGAACGTCAGTAATGTTATTGAGAACAGTTGAATGTTTGGTAGTTTTTGTGATTTACAGTTCGAAAACTGTAAAAAAATTACCGAACAAGGAAACCGTGATTAAGTGTGTAGCTCATGAACTAACGCATCGAAACAAACTTTTTATTGATTTGTGCACGGTGAAATCATTGATATGATTGATGTTTTCGATGTTTTCTGATCGATAGAACGGAAATGGGCGATTACGATGAAGTAGCGCTCTACCCTATATGACTGAAAAAATTCTCATTTTTTATTGAACACCCGTTAGTTTCAGGCTACAATTGTTGCAATCTTCAATTGCAACGATTAATTCGCTTTATACTTAGATAAGATTCAGACAGGAACAATGTAAAAACACTTTTTGCATACCACATGTCATTGCTACTTTTCCTTCATGCACGTTTAGCAGACCACACTTGTGGGAATATGCTGCATAGCTAAATCACACCTGGCATCGAACCTTCAGTTCAATGCTTGTTCAAACCTACTCAGCATTTATGACAAACTCTTGATACAAGCTGTTACCATGTGTACAGTCATGGCTTTCGGATACACTTCCTTTCGCTTTTTAGCATGGACACTGATCGCCATCAGTGTCCGAGTA